ATCAATGACGTAATTTCCGCTTACACTGCTGGCGTATTTTTTAATCACAGAACAGGAAGTAGCCATAACAGGAGAATTGATTTTGACTTTAGCTTCTATTGTTGCCAGGGCATTACTCGCTCGACAAGTGTAAGATCCTCTTTGAGTTTTCTTGATGTTCTTAATAACTAGAGTGTTATTTTGAAGAACACGGGCATTTACAGGCAGTACACTAGCGCCATCCATTGTCCACGTAAGTGTAGTACTCAGCACACTCCCGGCCACACAAGGCAAACGGAGAGTTAAACCAACGACAGGAGTCACTTCTTGTGGAGGACGGTCCTTAAACCATAAAGCAGTGTACACAATAAGTTGAGCAGTGGCAATTGAAAAACCTAGAATATTCTTTGCTTTACAAATGTATGTTCCACCATCTTTTTTTGTGACACTGTAGATTTTCATGGTTCCATCTTGCATCTTGATTCTGCCTCCAGGTAAACTTCCCACTGCCTTGGACCACGTGATCTTAGGTGACGGCTGACCAGTAGCATTGCAGGCGATGGTGACGTTTTGTTTCTCTTCAGCCATCAGTCGACTGGATGACAATGAAAGTTGCGGACCAACTGGCGAAAAATAGAAAATCAGGGCAGGTTGTTAAAGAAAGTCTGAGTTAGTGCGCAGAAAATCAGTGACCCCTCAAAATGTGTTTGCAAGAAGCTTATTTTAACTAGATAAATGGTTTTGTAGCCTGCGTTACGTTGTTGCCCTTCTTGATACTATCCACACTTAACAATATCGAGATACAGATCAGATTTAGCAACATTGAAAACGACAAAAAACATGTTTTTGGTTAAACTACTGTCTAAATTATGTTTTAATACCATGATTTGATTTAATATCCAATTGTAACCGGTGACATAATATAGGAATTTTTTTTTCTAATGTTCTGTTTAAGGAGCCTTTTAATCCCGGTCTACCCAACCTGTCTTTTTGAAGTTTAATTTCAAGACTCCGCTGGTAGTTGTCGATTAATAAAATTCTTATTCCACTTTAATTTTCAAATAAAACAACCAGGTCGACTTACACTGTACAGTGAGTTTAGCTGAAGCGTTAACGCTCCCCAGTAAATTTCCAGCCTCACAGCTGTAGACTCCCTCATCCCCAGGCCTCACGTCCTTCAAAATCAAAGCACCACTGGACTCTACCTTGTGACGTCCCACAGGAAGTCGCGAGTTCATCTTAGACCACGTGATCTGTGGAGTTGGATTTCCATCTGTTGTGCATTTCAAGATGGCCGTCTGGCTTTGATTGACAGTTGTTTCAACAGGACTCTGCAGCAGAGAAGGAGCCGTGATAGACTGGCCCGGCTCGCCCTTGGTTCCCTTTTGACCTGGTGGGCCTCTAGGACCCATGGGACCAGGGACCCCCGGTACTCCGAGATCCCCTTTAATGCCGGCGGGTCCTGGAGGTCCTACAGGTCCATGTTTACCAGGAGGTCCTTCTGGCCCGGGCTTCCCTGGGGGACCTGGTCTCCCTCGGAATCCGGGTCTTCCCCGTCGCCCTGCATTACCTTTTGGTCCTGAGCGGCAAAGCTTTTCATCTTTTGCACAGAATTGGTTTTGCAGCACTCGAAGCTCTTCTTTGATGAGTAGTTTTACTTGCGATTCTGTTTGGACCGATTTTGTTTGTGAGTTAGCTGGTAACGCTCTCTTCTGTCTTGAATTGACGTTTTCATACTCGCCAAGACCTTTCAAAACATTAAATAAAGCCCTTTCTGAGGATTAAGTAAAAATGGAATTATATATCGTACCAAAAAACAAACAAACAAACAAACGCCTAAAACCGAAAACAATCTAAAAAAACGACCGCTGCCTCGACGGTGTTTTTTCCCGAGACGCATCCTCTGAGTTAGCTTTAAAAAATAGTCTTTTTAAATTCTTACCGAGCTAATCCAGCAATGTACACTCAATTCAGTTCAAGTCATGTCCATTTGCTAAATAGCCAACTCCTCGTATGTAGCCCAGAGGAAATACGGACTCATTTTGTGTTCGATAGAGCCGAATAATTATAATTTTCATTTTCATTTACTGTATCAGTGTAGCTGAAGGTTGTTATAACATCGTTCCATCGTTCGTTCGAAATGAGCTGTGATACTTTTAAACTAACTCAGGACGGGCTGTTTTTTTTTGTTAAGAATGTCCTTTCGTTGGTTAGCTCTTGTTGTATTCTCCTGTTCTTGACACCCTCACCGATTATAAGCCTGTGCTCTTATTGCGGAGTTCTAAGCGAGTAGTCGGAACAAATTTTGAACAAGATAAAGCTCCTCTTATGTTAAACAAGGATAATTTTCATAATCGCCAGGATCTGAAACAAGCTGATGTTAATATCAAAACCCGGAAAATTTTATAAAACGTTTCCTTACCATTTGTCCCCTGCAAATGACCTTTTATGCCATCAACTTTCGTAACTTGCCATCGTTCGTAATTCTGCTGAACTTTCCTCAGAATCTGCGTTTCCATCTGATCACAGACTGTTACCGAGTGTGATATCAGTCGATGATGTTCTTGTATTCGAAGTTCAAGGTGAATTAGAGCCATACAACACGCAACAGACAACAGCAAAGCTGACACAGAACACAAGCTGTTCAGTGTTTCTCTGCTGTTCTTCTTGTCTTCCTTACTAGTCGGCTGTTTCATGTTTAAAACAGATTTCAGAGATACACAGCGTCAATTCCGAGATAACAAATTGAAGGCGTGGAGTGAATCTTCTTTGGCGACGAAAACTCAGAGCGTTTTATATGTTAAGCAAAACGAAAAGCGGAAGTTGAGACGTGACTTATTAAATTTCGTCCCTGAAATGGATACAACCCACCATGAGTTGTAACTAATACGAGAAAATAATCCCTTGACCTAGCCAGAGTAATACATTATAGGTTAAAAAATTGGCGGAAATTCAAAGTGAGGGAACTTCTGGGACTTCCTGTTCAGAATTGTTGAGGGTCCCCACAAAAGGTTTTTTTTTTGAGATTTGGTATTTAACTTATTTACCCACAGGATTCGGGATTCGTATGAAATGCAGAGCTCGATTTAGCGTTGGATCCCGAAATGAAGGCTGCCAAATAGGTTTTTCGGGACCCGGGATTTCCCTTATTTGAAGCTCGGGATTCGGGATTTGATTCGGGCGAGTTTCGGGATTGAAAGTATACGTGGGAGGTGGGATGCCAAAACTAACCCTTGCAATTATGGGATAACACGAAATTTTGGGTCGAGATTACGGGATTGAAGAACCGTGTTAGTGAGTCCCACGAATTGGACTTATGCGCGGGATACGTGATTTACTGATTCTGTGATGCGGAATTCATGAAATGATGTGTCCCGTTAAAACAGTGAACTGTACTTTTTTTAAAATGATTTCGATCGAGAAAAACCTTGTATGTCCACCCTGTCACGAGGCCAATTTTCGTAATATCTAACTATCTGGTGCCTGTGCCTCGTTCGATGAAAACGTTTCATCTTTAAATGCAGCCCGGGCTGTCGTGCTTTCACCTTGCCGACAATTTAGCTCAGTTACTTAAAACTGGGGTGTAACAATAGACTAAGTTAAATGCTTAAAGGAACCTTTCAGTCAGTGCTTTTAAGTCCCGGCTTGCAGGACTTTATAATTTCTAAATGGTAATCTGCCACTTTAAGAAAACAAATGGATCCAGCCAGTGAATAGCCTGTTTCAGGCGTTTAGATAATGAGGAGCGAGTGAAATCGTACGCGGCGAGCGCAAAAAGAAACACGAGGGAAAAAAAAAAAAAAAACGAGGAGAGACTGAGGCGTTCTCGCCCGCTCCCCACCATCCGAACGCCTGGAACAGGCTAGCCAGTGAAAGATACTATGGTTCAGAAACCACTTAAATTTGAGACTGAGGAAGGGCTCAAGCCCGAAAATTCTGGAAACATTGCACTTTTAAGACCACACTTTTGTTTCACTAAAAGCACTGAACGTACAGTCAAATTTCTCTTTGATGGAGACCTTCGGGACCGGCCGCTACTGTCCGTCTAAGAGGGATGTCCGGCTTACAGAGGGTTGAGGTAACTTGACACCAGTATAAACATATATAGGCTGAACCCATTCGCAATGAGTACACGTCCGTTTAACTTGTGAAAAACAACTAAAACTAGAATATTGCACACAAATGTGAAATAATTTTCTTGTTATAAAATCAAACGTTCATAATACAAGCCAAAGTTCACGGCTTAGCGGTCTAAAAGCGCAACAGTATGCACTCAACAGCTGACTCTATGAACTGGAGAAAGACTACAAAATATGAAAATCTAGCAATTTACTGTCATGTAGAGCACCTACATTAGCGTTTTGAGGTATGTTTACTGCATAAAGCACTTTTCAAGTGTCAGTTGACGGTTTCACAAGAGTCCGTTGTCCGTTTTAGAGAGGTGTCCGTCTTAGCGGAGCTCTCTCGCGCGTAAAGGGCGCGAAGCAGAGCACCATGGCGAAGAAAATTTAGTGACCTATGCATCCGAGAAATTTTGGTAGTCACGTGACCGTACGCCCGCCCGCTCTCTTGACCGACCGTCCATCCGCACCACAGGCATACCAATGTAAAATAACTCAATCGACAGGTATAGCAACTCAAATGCAACTCAAGGGTTTATTTGGAAGAAAACCGCATGGCCACCCGGACTTGTAGAAAGAAAAAACAACAACTAAGTCGTGTCTTCTTCGACGTTATTTTTGATGTTTACACTCATTGACAAGTGGATAACAAAGAAAGAGCTAGGGCGAGTGATTGAAAACAAAGGAGATGAATTCCGTAGGAAGAGAAACATGAAAATTCAAAGCGGCGGTGAGAATATGAGAAATGCTAGCGGCCAGCAAGGTGTTAATGAGGGCTAGTGAAAAATAAAAGCGAACATGAAGACGGGAAACAAAATATTGGGTAAGCACATACGACAATTCCTCCCTCCATAAAAATAATGTGTAACTAGGAAGTTTGACGTTTTAGTCGTTCAAAACAGCGTTGTAGTCATGCAAAACAACGGCAAAGAAAGACAAAAAAGCGTGCTGCACGAGCAAATTTGTTTTTTTGCTGATAAGAAAAAAAGTGTGCTGCACGTGCAATTTTTTTTTGATAATTAGATCTATTTATCATATTGCCATTTTCATTGCCGTAACGATTTAATTTTTTTGTTTGTATGTATAATTAACCAGAGCTTCGCTTTTAGCCCTGGGTAAATCTATATCTTAGAGAGTATGGTTACAGTGGAATGACTGAAAAACGGCAGGGACCAACAACAGGTGACTGTCTTAGAGAGGTGTCTGTCTTATGGAGGTTTTCGTCAACAGAGAGTTGACGGTATAATCACCCCCACCCACCCCTTTCGCTATCTTCTTCCCTCCCTGTCGAGTAAAGTTGACACCCATGACAACAAACAAGCTTTTATTTACTGATTGTTTACAACTTAATAGTTACAAAGCTGATCAGTGACGACTCAGGCTCTAGACTGCGAGCAGTCTCTTATTTTTCTTTGCAAAGTTACTGAACGAGAAACCCTAGCACCGAGCGCCGAGCGAATTTTAAGAGAAAAGGCGGACTGCAAGCAGTCTACTCAAGCTCTGACATGCACCGATGATATTCAAATTGAAAATTAAACAGGGAAACAAATTTGGAACACTTAAAAAGCCCATGTTCGGTTTATTTGATGTGGTTATTTTTGATAAGTAACGGGATTATAAAGCATAATATTTAGTGCACGACTTCCAGTGAGCAATACATGCATTTGAAATAATCGTTTTCCCCCGAATTGACCCGAATAATTGCCCCCGGCTATTATTCGGGAAATACGGTCATCTGTTAATAATTATGCGAGTCAGTTCATGAACAATGATGCACAAGCACAGTAGAATACTGAGAATACTTATTATTGATTGCGATTTTCAGTTTGGAGTTCGGTAATAATATGGCTGCTAACGCAAGTGAACCAAACTCGATAAATACCGCGAGGAACGAGCCTCACTTTGTCTCCGCACTTGCTCGAGGGAAGCCATTTCTCTTCTTAGACTGATTATGTAAGACTATCTTCGCTTTATAGCTAAGTTTGCTTTTTTTGACGAAAATTTATTGATTTCACCCGCGAGGTTTACCTTTTGCTGTCAGAGTACTCATCTTCTTTGGTGAAAAACAGCTGCAAAAAGCTCTCGGGGGTCGGGGAAGGGGCGCAAAATAAACGAACAAGCTCTTCTGGGTGTGGGGGAGGATAGAAGAACATTTCCTCCAGTTCTTCAAGTTCTGTCATTCTTCTCTTTGTTAAGGTTTTGCAAATTTCAAACTGCCTGCATTCCTAGACCTCTTGAAATATGGCCATCTTCCAAACAGAGGAAATTTTAAAAGCAGTGTGCATACCATAATAAGCATTGAAGAGGCTGTCTTTTCAAAGCTTTAATCTACACGTTAACAGTTAAACTAGTAATTCGGGAAAACTTTAGTCAAGGGCATTATTTGCCAAATTCGTGCCAGCTAGACAGAAAGATTTACACGCTCTAATCCATTAAACTATCAGTTTTATCGGCCACTTTCACAGGTAACGTTAATATCCCACTTGCAGAATAGAACCTTTCGCTCTGTTAAGTTACTACTCAATGATACAACTTAACAATTTAAGATAAATTGCTAGAAGTTATACTGATGAATCTTATAGTTTCCCTGGTACAAGGTAGTGCATCGTCATGCAATACCAAAGCATCTTAGTTTCCCCAGGGTGTGGTAACCTTCCTCGCTTCCGCTCACATCCCCAAACCTGAGTTGTTTGACTGGAAGCTTTGTCTTATCAGTGAGAAGACCGCTGTCCTCACGCCATACATTGTCATTCTTATCACAGTTACAACCATGACTGGAATCTGAACATGAGTTGGTCATCCCGCATGCGCACTTACTACTGCCGGGTGACGCTCCACCCCAGTACGTCATCTTTGTGGAGTCACGTGACACCCACCAGGAGTATCCACTACCATAAAATACCCTTGCATTGTAACACTCGTACTTGATAAACTGCTCACAGTGTGAAGAGACTCTGGTGAGACTTGCCAGCTGAGATAGACTCGCTCCTGTGTAATGAATGTCACGTGAGTAACACCCCGCCTTTTCACATCCATAGACATGTGTTCTACTCTCACTGTCGTGACTAATGACTGTCACACCAACTCCACTTTTATCGGTCATGTCACAGAACACCGTGAATGGTGCCAGACCTCCCTCGCCATCAGGATGAATGACGTAATTTCCGCTTACACTGCTGACGTATTTTTTAATCACAGAACAGGAAGTAGCTTTCACTGGAGAATTCATTTTAACTTTAGCTTCTATTGTTGCCAGGGCATTACTCGCTCGACAGATATATGATCCTTTTTGAGTTTTCTTGATGTTCTCAATAACTAGAGTGCCGCTTTGAAGAACATGTGTGTTTGCTGGGAGTACACCAACACCATTCTTTAACCAAGCAATTGTAGTACTCAGCTCACTCTCGGCCACACATGGCAGACGGAGAGTGGAACCAGTGTAAGGAGTCACTTGTTGTGGAGGACGGACTTTGAACCGCAAAGGAGAGTATACAATAAGCTGAGCAGTGTCTGTTACCGAACCCAGAATATTCTGTGCTTTACAAATGTATATTCCACCATCTTTTCTTGT